GCTGCCAAAGGGTAGCAGAATAGGCTACCTCAAAATATGTCACTTTGGCATAAGGATTATTTTGAGCTGAAAGCAACTGAAAAGGAGCAGAAATAAGAAAAGCTCTCTGTCCTTTCCCCTATTTGTCTAAAAGCAGACATAAATTTACAAGGATGTCCCTCCTGCCTCTCTACCAGGAAGGACAAAGGTTCATCACCGAAGACAACTTGGAGACTGCACCAGAAGCTTACTAAATGTTCTTGTCTACTATTAGTTTTGCATTTATTTATCTTTCTGTAATTTGCCGCCCCCAGAGACTCAAAGACCCTTTCCTTTGTCTCATTGTTCTCTGTTGTTCTCTAAAATTATATTGCTTTTTGTTGAAGATGCTCAATATGCCAGAGTTCTAAGCCTTCTCTTTAAGGTTTTCTCATTTTCCCAAGTATCTACCATGTATACATTAAGTATACATGTTAATACATTTGTCTCTTTTTGCCTTGTTAATCTGTCTTTTGTTACAGGGGTTTCCCAGCTAAGAGCTTAGAGGCATAGAGGGAAAATTATTTGTCCTCCCCAATACTGGGAAACCAAATCAAGTCAAATATTCCATGGGATGCTCTAATCTCACCCTCAGGAAGATACATTGACCCATCCATCATGAAGGTCAGGTGACCTCAAAGGAAGCCCCTCCTGGGAAACCTCTCAGTCACTATGTGGGGTCTCTGGTTTGGGGGTACATGGTGCGGGGGGAATCCTGGGAGGGGGCAGGGCAGAGGCAGGCTCCAAGGGCTGAGTGCCAACTACCTGGGTTCCTTCCTAGCCAAGCACCTTGAGCTCTCTTTGAAGGAACCAACCATCTCATTCCTGCTAATCTTAGATAGATGGCATCCTCATGTTTCCTCCGGGTAGGTAGGCAAAGTTCAGGCTTCTCTTTCTTGACTAGATTCTTCCACCAGTAAATTAGGTTCCAAAGATCCTAGCTGAGTGGGGTTTCCAGCTTCCTGGATGGAAGGCTAAGATGGCAAGGCAGCCTGGCAGACCCACCCCTGTGATTTGATTTCCATCTGCAGAGAGCACACCTTTTTCTTTCCACACTTGCCAGTCTCTTGAAAGTCCTTGGCCATCCTTGGGCCCAGTGTAGGCGGCAGCCTACAGAACCAGAGCTTGATGGACAAAGTCCTGTAGACATTGCTACATGCATAGTTCTCTGGTAGAGAACTGCAAAAGTACCAACTTGTTCCTGCCTAGTCTGCTGGAAAAACCTAAGTTGAGCCCAGGGTGGAGGTAGAATCATGGAAACATCTCCCATGGTTATCTGGGACAGGGAGCACAGGACAGGGACATGACAGCTCCTGGGTCAAAACTTATATTCTTAGAAACACCAGATCTCTTAAAAGCAAAGCCTTCAACTCTTAGTTGGCTTTCTTCAGCCTCTGGGAGGTGGGAGAGCAGAGTCAGGCCAAGTCCTCTCTAAGGACTGTAGGGCTAAACATGGCACCCACACAGCACACTAACGATATCTCCACTCCATTCTTCTCAGATCTCAGGGAGTGGGACTCACCTGCAACCTCAGGGGGCAGAGTCCTTCCAACCCAGGCTATGGGCAGCTGTGCTTTCAGGGGAGAGGAAACTCTTTCCTCTTATACCTGCCAAAGGCCAATGTCCTCATAAGACTGCAATGGCATGGTAAGGCCCAGGTGTCCTCCCTGGAAGCCTGCCTTGGCAGTGACTCCACAGGGGAATACCAGTTCCCTCCATGTTCCTTCCTCTGGACAATTCTCCAAGACTATCTCAATTTCCAGAGTTCACAAAGGCTGAGATATCTGATGTGTGTGTGTCTCTCTCTATTATGTTTACAATGAATCCCTTACACAGATGTCAAACTGCCTTAGACCGACTGGTATCCCATCATGTCATACCATGTTGAAAAAGATTCCAAGGCTGCATCTGTGCTTGATGGGAGGAAGAGCTGTTCATCATCCATTTATAAAGGAGCATCAAGAGGAAGGACATTAAATGTGTCTTTTCCTAATCACCCAGTGAATGAAGGTCAGAGTCAGGATGGGAATCCCAGACGTCCAGAGTCCTGGGCCAGCACAGGGGAGACACTTAGATCTGGGAACGCTTGAGATCAACAAAGTACTCACATTACCAAAGTATTCACATTACTTCAGAAAAAGAGTGCTTAGCAAATCTTCCCCAGGCTTAAAATCTGCTATTCTTTATGCATATGTGTGGGATGCTGGCAGGCAGACACAGAGCGTGTGGAAAGGGGCTAGTTGCCCACGCACGAGCCAACTGCCCCTCTGGTTGCTTATAACTTTAAAAGAGGGCAGGTCTGGCTCCGAGTTGCTCCAGTTTCATCAAATCAGCAAGGCACCCCAGGAAGAGAAAAGGGACTCTTTCAGAAACATCTGCAGGGGGCCACTCTGGACAGCTATTCAGTTACTATGGAAACCCACCCTTGGAAACTGCTTCAATCTCAGTAAAATAGCTATAAACAATAATAAGCATAAATGAAAAATGGTACAGTGTTACTTCAAAATTGTACTTGTTATTGGATTTTGTTGGATTTTAGGGGCTTAGACTGCAGGCTCACATCCATGAATGCAGTAGAAGGCAGACGTTTCTGTTGGCTGCAGGCCTAATGATAGAGCCCACATCCTCCCTCCCACCGCTCTAATCAAGTTTCTCCATGTGACCTCCGGCGAGGCATTTATCATAGAAGCTAATGTCTAAATTGCAGGAGGAAGAACGATATGCCTTGCAAAAACCAAACATTTGCTGAGCTGACTGGAAGGCAATATGGAGCCATTTGGGAGGGGACATGAGCCAGGGGGTGTGGTCACCGCATGGGCTCTCCTCAGCTAAGGCTGAACATTCACACAGGCCTGTTAGAAATCTATAAAAATCAGGTAGCAGGAATGATAGCTGAGCTGGGAGCTTCTGTTCTAGTCCATTTTCAAGGACCCTCAGTTTGAAAGAAAGAACCTTACAAAGACAACCTGGTCTGGCTCTTCCCCATGTGATGTTTCCAGTCTTTAGGCAACATCCTCTCCAGAGTATCATTGACAGTGTGCCTGGGCCACGCTAAGAGCTGTGATGTCTTTCCCGACACTGTGTTGAAGTCTAACTCCCTGTGGCTTCTAGTCATGGGCAAATCAGACCCCTCTTGGCAATAATGACCCTTCAGCCCCCTGAAGCCAGACCCCGACAGAGAAAGATGGTTGTTAACTGTGGGGACTTAGATTATCCTTCAAAAATCACTAGGGTACATGTAGCTAGCATACTTCCGGATCACATTTATGCTGATACCTGCTCTCTGGGAAAAACAGTAATCTATAGGGTCTTCCATACCATCTGTCACAGCAGGTACTCAACAAACGTTTCCTGGACCAGAGAAGGCCCACTGGACAAAAAGGTAAAACCAAGGATCAGAGAAGGTAGTCAATTTGCCCAGGCTCGCTCAGGTAGAGAGAGGCAGGACCTGGACAAGACCAGCCTTCTGCTTCCCAGCCTCAGATCATCCTTTAAGCACTGGACCCTGGACACCCAAGACCTAGGACCAGGGGCTGCTGGACCCTCTTACCACCCCATGGACAATTCTCAATCTGAGCTTCAGACTGCCCCTGAATCCCACCAAGGAGCTCCTCTGAAAGGGAGGAGGCAGTAATCAAGGAGGTTCTGTGGATCCCCAGAAGAAAGAGCATTTGGTCTCTAGTAGAGTCTGGATTAGCATCCAGGGCAAGGATCTGATGAATAACAATGAAAGCCTTTGGGGCTAGATCACCAGAAAGTTAACAGCGAAAATGAAGCCACAAAGAATATCAGCCAGCTCTTCTAGATTTTTTTCAACAAGAAAAAATTAAAGGGGAATGGCCTGCATCTACAAAGGAGGGGAAGGCTGCCTCTCCCAGCAGAGAAGGGAGGCAGGCCCCTGCCCACAGACACCAGGCCATGGCAGCAGCAGGGTGGCGGCAGGCAGTGGAGCTGGGGGGCCAGGAGGGACAACAGGGGTCCAGGGCCCCCGAGGCTGTGGGAGGGGTAGGTGGGGAGGGCCAGGCCTGACTCACCAGGCTGTGCATGATGCGCACCCCATCCGGGTTCACCGTGAGCGCCTCCTTGTACAGTTGCTGGGCCTCCTCCAAGCTGCCCTTCAACTCGGCCAGGCGGCCCCGCATGTAGAGCACTGAGTGAGAGGTGGGGAAGAGCCCCGCTGCCTCCTGGATGCAGAAACCTGCTTCCTTGAGGTGCCACTGCTCCATGAACAGCTCAGCTGCAAAACCAGAAGGGTGGTGGGAGGTGTGAGCAGTGGGGAGTCTGAGGCAGCAGCCCCCTCCACATCCTTGGAGCTAGAACTGGTGTGAGGTGACGGACACTATCCCGCCGAGTTACAGCATGGGACAAACTGGCTGTGGGATGCAGTGGGAACACCAGGGGATGGTTTCTGAGTGCTTTGTCGGTCTGGCACCCTATGAAGTGCTCTACACCAAGTGGAGGCTCAGTAGGTGCTCACAAAACCCTGTGGAATGAGTACTTTTGTTTCTCTACCTCAATTAATTAATTAATTAATTTTTTGAGACAGAGTCTTACTTTGTCACCCTCGGAAGAGTGCTGTCGTGTCATAGCTTACAGCAACCTCAAACTCTTGGGCTTAAGTGATTCTCTTGCCTCAGCCTCCAAGTAGCTGGGATTACAGGTGCCTGCCACAACACCTGACTATTTTTAGAGATGGGGTTTCCTTCTTGCTCTGTCTAGTCTTGAACTTGATCTCAAGCAATTCACCCACCTTGGACTCCCAGAAGGCTAGGATTACAGACGTGAGCCACGGTACCCAGCCTGTTTCCCCACTTTAGGGAGAAGTCTGGGCAGACAAGTTGCCTAGGGCTCTTGCCCAAGGCCACGGGCAGAGTCAGTGAGGAAGCCAGCATGTGCATCAGATATCTGGCTTCAGAGCCTGGCTGTAAGTAGGAACATCGTGTCTCCTGGAGCTAGGAGCTTGCTTAGCTGACTCTGACCTCTTTTTGCATGTCCCTTCACTTCATTTGTTCACTTGTGTCTGGGAATAAAGGGACAGAAGCAGATGAGGTGACTCTCCTCAACTCACCTCAGCCTCCCAGGAGGGGTTCACAGAAGGTGGGAATGTGCTTAGAGCTTGGAGAGAAGCAAGTGATCCCCCCACCCAGGATGGAGTGGGAGGATAAAGGAGAAGAAACTCAGGGAGCGCCTACCTGGGGCAGAGCAGGGTGCAGAGCAATATGCGTTACAGCTGCAAGGACCACCCCGTGCACTGATGAGCCAAACCCCTCACAAGAGTCTTGGAGGGAGGCACATACTACCAGGATTCCCATTTTAAAAAACCAGGCCAAGGGCTCCGTGCCTCCTGTAGCTCAGCAGCTAGGGCACCAGCCACGTACACTGTAGCTGGCAGGTGTGAACCCAGCTCAGCCCTGCCAAACAACAATGACAACTACAACCAAAAAAAAAAAAAAAAAAAAAGCCAGGTGTTGTGGCAGGCATCTGTAATCCCAGCTACTTGGGAGGCTGAGGCAAGAGAATCGCTTAAGCCCAAGAGTTTGAGGTTGCTGTGAGCTGTGACACCACAGCACTCTACCAAGGGCGACAAAGTGAGACTCTGTCTCAAAAAAAAAAAAAAAAAACCAGGCCAAGAAGGTGAGGACCTTGCCCCCTTTCCTTGGTAAGAACAGAGCCAGGTCTGTACTCTCCAGCAGCTCCTCCTCCTTCCTCCAAAGTAGACATACAGTGCTCTGGGCCAGCGGGCAGGAAGGGATCAACCAGAGCAAGAGCAGCCCAGGCCAGCCCCATCCCCAGCACAGGTGTGCCCCACGGTAAGTGTTTTTGGCAATGCTGCTGGTGGGCCTGATGGGACACTCACCCTCCTTTCGAAGTGGCCCCTGGGCTCAGAATGGAGACACAGATGGGGAGCGCAGAGGGCCAACAGAGTCTGACTATTCTTTTGCCAAGAACTGTCCTAGTAAAAGCTGAGATCTGAGTTTACCCCAGTTCAGATTATGACCAAGCTGGAGTAGATAAGAGATATTCCCGAGGGAAGCTCCCAGAGAAACCCATGCCCAGGTATCCTCCCTTTCTGTCCCAATAAGCAGCAGGAAGGAGGCCTAACTAGGGCCTTGACTACAACACACAGCACTCAGGGTACTTAGCCTGAACACTGCCTAAGGTTCATTGTGCAATCCAAGTAGCTTGCCACATCCCAAAATACCACAGAGAGCTTTTTGAGCAAGGGTGCTCTTTTTCTCTACTGGAAATGAGAACTTGCGAGCATCAGAGAATTAAATAAACAAAGAGAAGCCAGGCTCCCAGAACATGGCAAGGAAGTGAAATGGCTCTTGTTCCTGGAGACAGGCTGAAATGGAGATTCCCAAGGCAGACAGCACAGAAAGGTGAAGCCAGGAAATGGGGGCTTGGAACCCAGAGTCTTGCAGGGAGGGTGGCCTGGTGGTCAGAGAAGTCACCATCTCAGCCTCAGCTCTCCTTCCCTGCTCTGCTGCTGAGCTGCTGCTGGGGGCTCTTGAAGAGACTGTTTGCATAACTGAGTGTCCAGTGTGTAATTACTGAGGACCGACTGAGTGCCTGGTCCTTCCACGAGGAGGAGCAGGGGTAGGGCAGGGGGCAGCTAAGCCACTAAACTAATTGAGACCCAGGGAAGTGGAGTGACAAGTGCAAATCCTGGGTGTCACATGGGCACTCAGGAGGGGTCAGGTCAGGCCCGCTGGTGTGCTCAGGGAAGTCTTTCTGGGGGGAGGCAGCATTAGCACTGGGGCCTGAAGGCTGCAGAGGCATTTGGATTGGCAATGAGGACAAGGGACACTGTGCTGACCTGCAGAGCCCAGCTCCATTGCAGCAGAATCCCTCAGGGGCACAAGAGGAGCTGGGAAAAGCAGAAGGAAGTGTGTGGGTGTGGGTGTTAGGGGGCAGCTGCTTCCTCCATCGCTACCAAGCGTGGCTCAGCTGAGGGCCCAGGGGGTCAGCTCTCCACTCCCCTAGACCTATCCTAGCAGTCTTATTCCTGGCCCGGGCCACTTGGCCCTGGCATGGCTCATTAATGCTGTTTACAACTTGCTGCTTGGTCTCCAGAGGCTATCCCTGGTACACCCCCCCACCCCCCCACCGCCGGGACTCCACTTTGTGCATTCACATCAACAGATTTCAATTAGAAGGGGCACCACCTGCTGCTAATCCCACCTGCCTTCCACTCTGGGTCTTCTGGAGGGCCTAGGCCTTGCTGGGTTGGCCACACCAGAGAACTGATCCTGAAAAATAGGTAGGACTGCTCTGTTCTTTTTTTTTTTTTTTTTTTTTT